AAAAAAAAAAAAAAAAAAAAAAAAAAAAAAGAAAATATCAAAAACGATAAAGGCAGATAACCAAATTAGGAACATTTAGCCACAAATATACAAAGAGTTTATAAAATTTGGTAGGGGAAAGCACAATGGAAAATGTACTTTGTCATGGGATTTTTTCAAATCACAGAAAAAACACGCATCCTTCAGGGACCTGCCCTTGAACCGGCCCTCCAGACGTGGACACACGTTGTATACACCGACCCTGCGTGGGATCTCCCTGCGTGGACCAATCCCGCGGGGCCTCTTCCCACGCGGTCTCACACACATGAGAAAAAAATGTACACTCTGCCCAGTTATTAAGGAAGAGGATGGTGGCTCATGCCTGTAATCCCAGCACTTTGGGAGGCCGAGGCAGGCAGATCATCTGAGGTCAGGAGTTCAAGACCAGTCTGGCCAACACAGTGACACCCTGCCTCTACTAAAAATACAAAAATTAGCCAGTCATGGTGGTACATGCCTGTAATCCCAGGTATTTGGGTGGCTGAGGTAGAATTGCTTGAACCTGGGAGGTGGGGGTTGCAGTGAGCTGAGATTGCACTACTGCACTCCAGCCTGGGTGACAGAGTGAGACTCTGTCTCAAAAATCCTGCTTTTTGGAATCCATGTAGCAGTACCAATTAAGGATTTTCTGACTGGAGTTCTTTTCTTAGAAAACAAACTATTAAAAAAATGGAAAATGAAAATAATAAAAATTGGGTTGTAAAACATTGGGTTGTTTTGTTTTGTTGTTTAGAAAAGTGGCCAGATGAGGTGGCTCGCGCCTGTAACTGCAGCACTTTGGGAGGCTGAGGTGAGTGGATCACTTGAGCCCAGGAGTCCAGCGCCAGCCTGGGTAACATGGCAAGAACCTGTCTATACAGAACAGTTTTAAAATGTAGCTGGGTTAGCTGGGTGTGGTGGCATGCACTTGTCGGGGGGGCTGAGGTGGGAGGATCACCTGAGCTCAGGAGCTTGAGCCTGCAGTGAGCCGTAATCGTGCCACTGTACTCCAGCCTGGGTAATGGGAATGAGACCCTGTCTTAAAAACAAGAAAAAAGAGAGAGAGAGAGGAGGAGGGGTGGAGGTGAGACGGAGGGGAGGAGGGTGGGAGGGAGAAAGGGAAGGAGGGAAAATAAAGAAGAATGAGAGAGAGGAAGGAAGGAAGAAAAGGAAGGAAGGAAGGGAGAGAGGGAAGGAGGGAAAAGAAAGGGAAGAAAGAGAAAGGAAGGAAGGAAGAAAAGGAAGGGAGGGAGGAAGGAAGGAAGGAAAAAGAGGAGAAAGGGAGGGAGGGAGGAAGGAAGATGGGAAGGGAGAGAAAGAGAAGAAAGAAAGAAAGAGAAGAAAGAGAAATGCATGTCATATCATTATTCATTGGGGAGAAAAAGAAAACACCTTGAAGATCCAACACTGGGGGCATGGTTTAGCAAATGGTAGCAGCCATGAACTTGCACGTGTGTACATTAGAGACTTTTGGAAGTAGACACTGGTGAAGTTTGTTGCCTGAAAGTGTCTCTCCCTTACCACCAGCAGAATCCATGTTGTGTGGTGCCAGCGTCCCCACTTCCAAAGACAGGGTGACTGGTGCAGGTGCCAGGGGGAACCCTTTGTCCTCTCAAGTTTTGATGAAACATTGCAAAACGCAGATCAATTGGAGAAAAGGCAGACACATTTATTTACTGTGTCTACATGGGAGCTTTCAAAATGAAGACCTAAAGAAAGGGGAGAGATCGTCTATTTTTATGCCTAGGTTCTGCAAAGTAAGGACAGCACGCAGAAACAGAACTGGGCAAATAGGGTTGGATCTAATGAGGATAGCTTGAGTGGGGACGCCCAGCCAGGCCTGTCTGTCTAGATTCTTCTTGGCCTCTCTGAGCAGCTCCCCTCCCTCCTCCCTCCCTCCCTCCCTCCTTCTCTCCCTTCCTTCTTTCCAGGACCCTCCCTGGAGTGAGGGTCTTAGGATCTACAGTCTAACAAAGTGGATCAGATTATTTCTTCATGGCCGGGTTTTACTCAGAAAGGCAGAGGGAAAATTAGAGACCCATTTTTAGGTTTGATGGCTGGCTTTGGGTTCTGGTTTCTGTGGTCCATCTTGGGGAAGAGCGATTCTAGTTTCTATGGCCGGACGGGAGAATGAGGGGCGAGAGACAGGAGGGCCAGAGAAGGTCAGAGAAAACTTTTTGCTTCTGAGGCTGCTTAGGAGGCCTTCACCTTGGGTCTTGTTTTCTGAGCCGCCTGGCACTTCTATGTCCAGCCTCCCTCCTCTCTATCCTCCAGGTCAGAGACTGAGCTGGTGCCATTTGAGCACTCTGGTGGGTTAGGAGTCGATCCATCTCATCTGCCTCGTCGACCGTTTGGAAAATTGAAGCTCCCACTTTCTGATCAGAGACAAGGTGGGAGTGGGCAGTGGGTTTCTGTCTGTTTTTTCTCAGCATGACATCTCATAGACGCCACAAAGACAGAAGACCACTGCCGAGTCCCCGATGCCTCCGGGCTCCTGAATTCCCATCACGTTCGAATCAAAGAACTAAATAAGAACACCGTTCGCCACAAAACGAGCTGGTGCTCAGCCGTCATCTTCTCAGGGTGATAGTTTCAACTGATAAATGTAAAATGTTGGGGGATTTCACTGGCAACCACAAAAGCATGTGAATATTTTCTCTAAGAGTGTGATAAAGTCTTTCTTGAGACAGAGTCTCCCTCTGTCACCCAGGCTGGAGTGCAGTGGTGCCATCTCAGCTCACTGCAACCTCCACCTCCTGGGTTCAAGCAATTCTCCTGCCTCAGCCTCCCGAGTAGCTGGACCACAGGCGCCTGCCACCACGCCGGCTAATGTTTATATTTCTAGTAGAGACGGGTTTTACCTTGTTGGTCAGGCTGGTCTCAAACTCCTGACCTCAGGTGATCTGCCCTCCTTGGCTTCCCAATGTGCTGGGCTTACAGGCGTGAGCCATCACACCTGGCCAGTCTTTTTTTTTTTTTTTTTTTTTTTTTTTTTAAGGCAACAGAAACAACCAAAAAATGGATGGCTGGATGAGAAACGATTCTAATTACAGGAAATTTTTGAGAGAATCTCGCTCTATCACCCAGGCTAGAGTGCAATGGCGCGACCTCAGCTCACTGCAACCTCCACCTCCCGAGTTCAAGCAATTCTCCTGCCTCAGCCTCTCAAGTTGCTGGGATTATTAAAATACAAAATTAGCCCGGCGTGGTGACATGACCCTGGCGCTATCCCACATGGCATCGAAGGCATAGCAAGCTCGTCCTTTTGGGAACTGTGGGTAATTAACTATCTTTTCAATAGTGTTTGTCTCCTGATCTGTGGGCCTCACCGTACCTGAATAATTTTTTTAAATTACATTTTTA